GCTGTCCCACTCTGAGGGCTTCACACTCAGGAAGCTGCTCAGACCAAAGGTTTTATCTGCCTGCTGTGTAGCAGAGCTGGTGAAAACTCCATCGGTTAGTGGCCCCCCGTTGTACGTCCAGCTGACGTCGGCAAATGCAGCAGACATCTTAGCCAGGCAAACCAGTGTGGCTCTACCTGTCTTGAGCTCCTCGCTGGATGGAGGGAGGAGACTCAGTGAGGGAGCCTCCAGGGAGGGGTCTGGATGAGGGAGGAGAGCCAGCAAATGTATAGATTACAAATCAATGGCGATTAATTTATTTACATTAAATGTCACACTTCATATTTTATATTATTGTTGCTCCTGACTTTCACTCATACGTAACTTTAAGCAGTTCCTTACTTTTACACTGGTCAAACATTTGTTGACATAATAACACGCAATAAAAGATAAAGCAATATATATTAAACCAACCAGACTAAATTATATTCAATTATTAATGAACAGTTACTGAAGCTGCCCTGAGTATTTTTGAAAAGAAATCATTAAATATTACTTTATTTACAAAAGCTACAACAACCACATCTTTTAAAATGGCACAGAAAATATATATGGTATGATTATTAGACTCTTAGACTTTGTGACATACATTAACTATCTATAAATATGTTTAGCACATTTTGAAGATCTGTTAAAGAGTTTTCATCAGCACTTTCTTAACCATATGTCTAGAAATAAAATGAAGCACTACAGAGGCAGACTTGCCTAATTTAAAACATCTTCTGTAGCATTTTACTAAAGATTTGGGTAAGAGAAGCAGAGCAGATGGGAATGGAGAGGTACTTACCGCTGACGATCAGTTTAGTGCCTTGTCCGAATACCACAGTGCTACAGGTCTCATACCCACCCGTACAAAAACTGCTCTTCACTTTCTGTACAGAGAGGAAGGAACTGAGAGACCCTGCTCCTCTTCATTCAGTTTTTGCATGTTTTTCACTTGAATTCAATATTATTTGTATAGCACATTATGACAACATTACATTGTCCCAAAGCCTTCTACATTATCTCTGTCCAAAGCAAGTCAGAAGCAAGAGTGGCAAGGAAAACTCTCTAGTAGGAAGAAGCCTTGGGAGGAACCAGACTGAAAGTGGGGGAGGGGGGGTATGGGGGTCCTCCATGGACTGGCAGAGGAAGTCAAATGAGCAAAAAGACAAAATCCTAATTTTAACATTCAAGTCTAAATGTGGAGGGCAGGCAGCTGCTGGTGCTGCTTCTGATGGCAGGATAATCAGTGGTACAGCAACAGGGCAGACAGGAGAGACATCAAAGGCAGAAGGGGCGTCGTAGGCAGCAGGGTGGGGGGGGAGATAAAAAGTGCATTAGGCAAAGTAGGGGAGAATAGAGGTAATGCAAACAGTTAGGTGAGTTCAGTATGTAAGCTCTGGCAAATATGGCTATGGCAGGATAAGTAGGAATGAGAGGCAAGTGGGAACGAAGGCATGGGGAGTCCCTGAAATGTCAGCACTCCAATTCCACAGGGGAGTGTGAAGCTAGAGTGACAGCACTGACAGTTCAGCTCATCCAAAGCCAATGGCACCAATCCCACCCAGCTCAGCACCTTAGTCTGTCAGCCTAACTAGGGATGAGTAGCTAGCTAGAGCTACAACTAGAGTCCCTATAAGCTAAACAAGCTAAACAATGTGTTTTAGTCTAGATTTGAATATTAAGAGTGAGCCTGAATCTTGCATATCCGCTGGAAGACTATTCCACAGCTGTGGAGCTCTATGAGAGAATGCTCTACACCCTGTCGTAGTTCTTTCTAATCTAGGTACTGATAAATATCCTGCCTGTTGAGATGGAAGCAGGTGAGGGGGTTTGTAAGAGACCAGTAGATCTCAAAGATAGTCTGAAGGCCATTCAGTGCTATAAAGCTAATAGCAGTATCTTGTAATCAATCTGATACTTAACTGGAATCCAGTGAAGGGAACATAACAGATTTAATAAGATCATATTTTTAAATTCACAATGAATAGCTTCAGATCTGTCGACAAAATGACATATTTATTAAATATAAAAATGCATTTTCCTCCTTAGTCATTCATCCAACTGACCTACTTTAATAATTGCTAATTAGACTCTAAGGCAGGGGTGGCCAATCTTATCCGCAAAGGGCCGGTGTGTATGCAGGTTTTTGGAATAACCTGTAGGTCAGCTGTTCAAACCCCGGTGTGAGGACTCTTCAGCCAATCAGTCCTCTATTTAGTAATCTAATTAGGGAGTTGCAGCGAAAACCTGCATACACACCAGCCCTTTGCGGATAAGATTGGCCACCCCTGCTCTAAGGGCTCTATTTTGATCATCTAATGCAAAGCATAAAGCACAAAGCGGAACTAACAGGTATGGGTGCGTCTAAATCCATTTCACTATTTTGATGGCAGAAAAACCAGACTTTGCACCAGCGGAAGGCGGAAAGGGTTGTCCCAACTCTCTTAATGACTCAGAGGTGTGTTTTGGAAGTAACATGCAAGAACCAATCAGAATGGTACCTCAACGTTATAAGGTAGCGGCGCGTGATCTAATGCTGATTGCTATTACAATGGCACGTTTGTCCAACAAACAAGATTTCTTTTCAGCCAAGGAAACAGATGTACTCGTGTGTGAGGTGAAAATACGTGAGCACATCATCGACGGGAGCAGCACTATACTGTTCTACCTAAGCCTTTCAAGGTGAAGCAGGCTTGGGTTTTTTAATTATATGGTTTGTTCTTTACTTATTATATATTGTTTTCCTTTTGGTGTTTCATAAACAGTATGATTACATGAAAAGACATACTCTACAAAGTAAAACATATATAAATTAAATAAAATAACAAAATACCATTGGTGCACTTGGAGCGCGTATCTGTGTCAATAATAAGCGTCAGGCACCCACACATTTCTAAAGCACGCCGCTTAAATACCGTTTAACAATGCACCACTCACCTTTGACAATATTTTTGTTGATCAAAGGCGCAATGACATTGCGCTGCTTTAAAATAGCAATGAGCCAACAATGTGCCCGGCCACACCTCATTTTAAAAGCACCACTCCTATGAGTAGAAAGCGGGTGCAAAACGATTTACTATTTTGACGATGTGTGCGCATGGCGTGAAAATGAGCAATCAGCTGGTACGAAACTAGTAAAACCACTTTGTGCAGGTGGAAAATAGAGCTCTAAGAGTTCAACAAAGCCAGACCTGAAAACCAGCCCTACACCTCACCATATATTGACCTTTGCTATGAGAGTGAAGAACTCCCCACAAGGATTCCACAAAAAGATTATGCTACTATTGATTAAATTCCAGAATTCATGAGTTATTGAAACCTACCAGTCAGGCAAGGGACAGAAATGGCAGCTAAGGCTCTGGGACTCACCATACCAAGATGAAAGCCAATATTTCAAAATGGAGAGTATTTGGGATAGTGATGAATCTTCCCAGGAAAGGCACATCTGCCAAAATGTCTCCAAAGGCAATTCATTCAAGATGTCACAAAAGATCCCAGAGAAAGAGGGAATAAACTGCAGGATTAAGATAAGATTAGATAAGAGTCATGACTCAACATTAAGAAAGAGAAAAATAGGATTGACAGGAGAGTAACATAGTAACCACTAGCTGTCCAAGAGTAAACGAAGGACAACCTGAGTGCTGGCTGAGGCTAAGAAAACCCCTCACAGGGGTGTTTATTAAAGGGAGAAGGCAGGGTTGCACATGTAGACAGGGAACAGAAATCACAGGACGGGGATAACCTTATAATCCCCACTTATAGGAAGCAAACATGAGGCAGCTGTGAGAGGGTAATAGGAGGGCTGGTCCAAGAGGGAAGATTAACAAGCCATGGGCGGGGCTAGTTTCGAGCCACACCCATGGAGAAACAAGGAGATCAGGCAGGTGGAGTGGGCTGGATGTGATAGTAAATCCCCCCCCCCCCACAAAGGCACGCACTCTGGGTGTGCAGAATAGGCAGGGAGGGGACCCAAGGGACCAGATGGGAGAATGAACACATGGGGGCAGGACCAGGTACACTGGACAGGGTTGAACACCAGACGGGTCTTGGGACCAAGGACCTAGGGAGCCAAAACAGAACCAGGAACAGGACCAGGCAGACTGAACAGGGAAACACTGCACCAAAGGGATGACAGCAGACATGACAGGATATACCCATCAGGTGACATCACAGGACAAGATAGAACCTCCAAACAGGACAGACAACAGAAGTGTACCTAATGGGACCAGACGGGACACTACTTGGGCCAGGAGATGGACAGAAGCAGGGCTACGGGGGTAAGGGGCTGGACAGACATGCGGAAGGCCCACAAATACAGGGACAAAGATGTCGTGTTGATTTAGGGGTGCCATTGGTTGGGTTATAATTTAATGTTTTTTTCCCTGTTTATTATGGTTTGATTGTTAATTAACAAATCTTCCTTCCCAGTACCAGGAACATCTTGATTGGTAATTTACGGGTTAGTAATGGGTGCTGGGCGGGGATAGGCTGTGTTTTATTATAAATTAGGTGGGGTACGGAGAAGGAGGGGACCCCACTGCACACGGGGTATGGAATGAGCTCGGTGGACAAGTGCTCGTGAGCGGCCGCGGACAAGGCTGCTACCTTTGGAGGCGGCGGCATTGGAGATCGGACAGGCGGGTGCTGTGTCCTGCCAGCGGAGGATAAGGTGCCAGTGGCCGGACGGGGGGAGTGACGTCGGGATCGTCTGTGTTGTCAAGCACCACCGTTCCGGGAGAGTCCTGGCTGTATTGTAAATATCCCAAGTGAAGTTCAAGCCGCGGGGTTCGGAACCTGCAGTTGGGCACGGACTGGGACCTTGGAAAGTTGGATCCTCTGTCTTCCTGCTTCCCCTGAAGACGACGTAGAATGCTGATGACGCCATCGCCGTAGTGGGGGGATGCCGGTATTGATTTTCTCTGGGTTGTTAGCAATTGGACATGAGTTTGTATGAATCAAGGTTGGTTTAGGGGCGGATCCGGGTCTGTGTTTTCATGTACTGGTCGGAGGGGCCTGCCGACCAATACTAAAGTTTTATTTATTTGCTTTGTGTGCGGAAAGGGGTGGGGGAAGTTTCCGCGAAGGGGAAATGTGTGGCTGTCGCCGCTATGGTCACCTGTCTGTAATTGGGTGTGTGGTTTGATACTAATCTATAAGGTTTTGGGAGGTGTGGTATACTTGCATGTGTACGCTAGATTGCTGTGATGTGTTGTATTTATTTGCTGTGTAGTGTGATCATTCTCATGGTAATTCGGGAGTGTTGAATCTGTGGGGGTGTACTCAGTGAAAAAGGCGTACGTAGGGCATGTCCTCTCCCCCCATTGCGGTGTTTGACATTCTGCTTCCCCCGTATATTAAGTGAAGTCTCTTGTGTTTAATAAAAGATTGTACCGTTCTGCTTGTCCTGTTGTATTGTCTGAGGCTCGGGAGGTTAGTGACACGACAAAGACACAAGGGGGGACCACAGCGGATATGGGCCCAGGCAAGATGACAGGACAGGGTGCAGACCAGGGGGAAACCAAGGCAAGACAGGGTAGGAGGGGAACCACTGTGGCAGGGGAGGGGAAGAGATCAGACTGGGGGCAGGGGGTCTGGAGGACCCCAGGATGCTGGGGGTCAGTCCCATGGTGCGGATCCCCCTAGGCACTTGTGGAATAGTGGGACCAGGTGGCACCGAGGGAACCACAGGGATAGGGCCAGACGGCACTGAGGGGCCCACAGGCCCGGGACCAGGACAGGAATCGGTGGGTGCCGTGGGAACTGAAAGGCAGGAAGACACTGTTGGTGCCAGAGCAGAGACCGGGATGGTATGTCCCCTTTTCGGGAGATGGAGACTTGGCCTGCCCCCCTTTTTGGACCTTTGCACTTGAAGCCAGTTAGTTTAAAATTATCTAATCATGCGCAATTATAATCACCACTAGCTAAAGATACTACTTCTGACAGAATCCATTTCAAATTCGTCTCTTCCTGACATTTTCATATATTTTTTATTCACTGATGACAGTGTCAGTACATTTCATCATTGTTTTTGGCATCATAAATTAATTTTTCTTCTCGTTTTTGCCAATTTAGAATCTTCACTGACAAATAGTTTTCATCATAGTTATTGTCAACAAAATTAACCCTGGTTAATGCATTAACTTTGACAGCCATAGTTCTTTAATTCATTCATTCAGTCTTACACCCTGCTTAGATTATGTTGTGTGAAAGACGTTTATAATCATGCATTTCCTGCAAATCACCTGTTATTTCAGATATTGTTATTATATAATTATTTGCGTGATTATTTTTACTATTTATTACTGTATAATGTTACTTAATATTATAAGATTTATGGCGTTATTATATTATGTAAAACAGCGTACAATCCTTATTTCCTTGGTGTGCAGGTGGGTGGGCCGCTGGCAGTGAAGTTTGCCTTGGGCACCACTTGGGCTTCCACCGGTCCTGATGGCAGTTATTACTCTAACTGCATTAAGAATGGTTGTGATTAACTTTAATTGAAATAATATTCTGTCAGTATTTGTTGTAAAGCAGAAGTGAAACTGGCAGGTTTTTGTCATGGTGTGAATCACTGTGATACTGCTTCAGTGGGAGAGCTAAACCATTTCTTACAGTAATACACAGCAGAGTCGTCCACCTCCACGCTGCTTATTACTAACTGATAATCTGTGTTGGACTGGGCTCTGGAGGTGAAGCGGCTGGAGAAGAATTCACTTCCATATGTGTGAGATCTATTAGTACGGTAGTAATACAGGACGAACTGGGGAGCTCCTCCTGGGACCTGCTTGTACCAGTGAATACGATAGCCATCATCTTCAGGTTTCTGACAGTGCAAGGTGGCCGTTTCTCCTTTACTCAGAGTCAGTAAGGAGGGTTTTTGAGTGACAATCCTTTGGCCGCTGATACCTGTGAAGGCAAAAAACACAAGGAAAGAAATACAAAGAAATGTACAAATAACACGCTAAACAAGTAAAATAAACAGAGAGGAGGCGCATTTCTTACATGCCAGAGCTGTGATGAAGGTGCCCAGAGTGAACAGCATGATGTCAGTCTGTGATCAATGAGCAGACTGGAGTGTGAGGGGAGGGGAGGTTGCAGCCCACAGATATATGGGGATGTTGGTCACATCAGGGGGAGGAGCTTCTGTTCTCAACCAATCAGTGACACGATGTGCCGTTACACCCCCAACTACTGGCTGCAAGGCGAAGTGAAAAATATCATCCATCCATCCATCCATCCATCCTTTAGCTGCTTAACCTGGGCAGGTTCATTTGGGCGGTCGGATCTGACCTCAGTCCTGAAACATATCATTTTTCATCGATATTTCTCAAATGAAACAAGCTGCATATTAATCTTCAAATCACCTCTGTTTCTACACATAAAATCTGTAGTTGAGGGGCTAAGTCTAGTGGCTTCTGTCATATTTGCAAGTTGTTGCTGGGATCTGAGGAAAGATCTGTCACGCCAAAGCCAGACCACAAGTGGAAAATGTTCCTCATTGGGCAATCCAGGTTCATTAATGAGACTACATGATAAATTTAGCTGTATTCTGTTTCACCTGTCCCTGCTTCCAGGTGTATCTGAAACACTAGTCTGTCTCGAATCAACCCAAACTCAGCCCAGGCTCCGTTAATGAGAAAATCAAAAGAACTGTGTTTGTTGGATGGTTTTTTTCTCTTCAGAAATACTGTAGCTTTACTTTAATCTTCCCTAAATGTCAGGTGTTTTCCTGTCCCCTCCATAATGCCATCCATAACTCGACTTTATTATTTATATCCCACAGAAGACAATCCATAAATATGTTCTATGGTCCACAGATATTTAACCACCCACAAATATGGATTTGATGGAGCCCCTGAAGTCCCAGAAGGTGATTGTTTTATTTTGTTCGCACCAGTAATTGTGTGGGAGCAGGTCGGCTTTAACTGTTATGTCATGTGGTAACAAGATCATTTGTGCACGCTGACTGACGTTTTTTAGACCACTGGGATGAGTTGCATTTAGAGCTTTTAAGAGTCTCTTGATTTCTCAAGTATATATTTGAAATATGGCAACGTCCATTACTATATTAGGACAGTGGATTTAGCTGTGTTTTTGGTGGGTGAGCTGGACGAAGATTTTTGTTACTTGCTCATTTTACCAAAGCGCTCATGTCCACCTAAACCAAACCTGTCAGATATTAGGCTAAAATCAGACACAATAGCCTTGCAATTAGTGTATGTTATGCTAACGTTTGAGCAAACAACAGCAAAGACAAAATAGTGCAGCATTGCTGACTTTGCTGTAGCCTGCAGTGAAAGCCTTGTTGTCTTGTTGTCATTGTCATTTTTTAAACGTGCATTAAATAACAAAACATGATCTCGATATGGATGCCATTGCTATGGAAACTAGAATCGGAGTTTTGTGGTTAGGGTTAGAGTTTAGTGTGGATAAGTTCTCATAACGGTTAGGGTGAGTGTGGATGCACATCAGTTCATTAATCCTGATTTGCCAAGTGAGGTGACAACAGGGCAAGCGAGATAGGATAAGGAACGTCCCTGTAAGTACAGTAGGCCTGTATCAGGGACATGCACTTCCACCTGGCAAAGTTTATTGATTACATATGTGCTGTCCTCGGTGCTGAATCATTTTGGGTTTATTTTATCTTGTATTGGACTGGCTTAATAGCCTATGTGATAGTTGACTTTGATGGCGAGTGTACCTGATGTTTTAAATGTTTTTAATGTGGTGTCATGTCTTATGTGCGAATTGGAGTAATAGCTGTATGATATTTGTTTAAATTTAAATTGGTTGTGTGGGGGGGGGGTGCATTTGGGCCCTCCCAAATAGCATATTGTGCCCCCCATATTAAATGAAAATGTTTTCACTAAATGAAAACAGAATTACGAAAACACCCTGCTGCTCGTATTTGCATAACGGTTACTCTGAGAAACATATTTTCGAATCACAGATTCGCAGTGATCCACGAAAGAAAGGCCCAATTGGTTCAGTAATGAGAAGAGGAATGTAACCAGAAAATGCACAACCGAAGCCCCTTTCACACCAAAACCTGTTAATGTACCAGATAAAAACAATATGGGTTAGAAAACAAATTTACATCCCACCCAGTCTTCCATAGTGGTAAAGTACCAGGTGCCACATATTTGCACATGACTGGATTTAGCAGCTTGATATGGAGCACAAACCTTGAACCTTGCGAAAGTGGTCACACGCCGTGAGCCTACAAGTCAAAAATGTTTTAAGCAGGTTTGGCAATATGGGGTATAAGTGGAAGGACAAAACTCTTGGCTTCAGCATCAACAATCGCCACCTTCAGCTCTTCTAAATGTAAGTTGGATGTGTTTTATTCACGGTATTATGCCAGCATTGGCTTTTATGATTAACTATCTAAAGATTATGCAAAACAGTGAATAATTATTGGGTCTGCTTGCATTTATTTGGTATGACAAATGACAATATTTGTTTGTATGTAAATGAGTTGGATAGCCCTAGCCCTTTTTCTAAAGCACTATTGGCAAGTGGGCTTTGCTGATCTGTGCTCCGTTACCTTCGCCTTGCTTGGATGAGAAGAAATGCTAGCTTGCATTCCTGTTAGTAATGATAAGTTTCCAAGTCATCAGATCGCTAAACTGTTCATATGTATGGGGTTCCACGTATGCCAAAAATATGCCGATATGTTCACTGTCAATGTCGACTGAACATATAATATAACATTTGACTGTCAGTTCAACTTTAAACTGTACTATTGTCGTCTTAGCACATATGTTGTGCTCCATGTCGTTTGACTGCCTCGTTATGTAATGTGATGTGTTAGCTGACTGTGTTGTGATGAATGTTGTCTTGATGTGTTATTTGTCTGTGTCGTTTTGCTTCTAGTCCATGTTGTTTTTGTTGTTCTGCATGTCGTTTTCTTATTCTCAAATACACCAATCATTCTCCGATACACTTTTGTTTTTTCATGGGTAAAGCGGGAGGAGAAGCAAAAAAACAAACAAACATCATATCAGGACGATGTGCATAACGATGCAGTTAAACAAGGATATGGGAGGCCATCAGGGTCAAAACATCATAAACTTTTCGCGTAGAGGCACCATTATTTCACACTTACACACAGGATTACTCTGGAATATTTTAGTACACAACCCTGCAACTTGGATGAGTTGGGGACGTTCTTAGAATGCCCTCTCCTGGTTATGAAAGTGTCACAACTCTAAGTTCCCATTATGATGTAAGAGGGACATTCCATTTTGGTTATTTTATGGTCACAATGATACGTTACAAAGAGGACATTTGGGACGTTAAGAGGACGTTCCCATTTGCTTCAATGTTGGTCACATGGGCATGTTTCATTTAGGACTTAATCAGAACATTTGCATATGGATCCCTGTTTGTCATATAATAACCATTCATATACAGTATGACTGTAGTGAAATATAAATGTGTTGGGAGGGCGGGCACAACATGTACTCAACAAAAGGAGGAGGAGGTAAGGAGCATGCCCTGGTTACAGTGCCTCACCACACCGACACATCATAAACAACCTCACGGATGAGAACCTGAGTGTAGTCATGTGGCACCTCAGCACCACACTAGTCCAAACAGACCAGTAGAATTTTTTTTTTTCTAGTGGTTGGAGTGCCAATCCTGCCACCAACCTCTGTAAGTTGGAGGACCTCCTTATTGACTGGATGTAGATTAACGTCATAGCCCGGACAAAGCAGTTTCAGGCTAAAAGCCTTGCTCAAGGGCCCGACAGAGTAGAACCACTGAAGGCATTTATGGGATCTGAACCAGCAACCTTCCGACTGGTGGTACAGGTCCCTAGCTTCAGAGCCATCACTCGACCCAACAAAAGAATTGTCTGTAAATTAATATGCTCTTTAAAGAAAATGTGCCAAGGACATTGAATCTCAGGTTGAAAAAAAAATGTTCCCTCACACCCAATAGCCATGCGCACAAGGCTTAAACTATAGTTATCTGTTCTTGTAGCAGTGTTTATAGAAAATTGTATATGGGGAGTGACTGTACGAAGCAAGTATTATGTGGGAAGGGGTTGCAAACAAACCAGCAAACGACAGTATTTTTTGTTTTAATGTGGGTGTCAGTGGGGGTGGTACCATAGGTGTGCATGCATGGGTGTGTGTGAGTTTCCATAACAGGTCTGCCCAATGCTACTGATGAGCTGTGGGACGGGCAGAACTGGAGATAAAGACGCCATGGCAGCAGGAGCAGGAGAAAGGACGATCGGAACAGGTTTGAAGTTTATGCAATGACCGACTTGCTGTGGTGATCTTCAGGAGCAATTGCCAGCGGACAAGTGCAACGATGGAGGACTAGTGAGATTATTCAACGCGCTCTAGTTCTTTCCGATCAGGGAAGTGACTAAGTTTTACTTCTGGTGAACGTACGGACGCGAACTGTGTGGGTGTGTGTGCGTGGGTGGGAACTGATACCCCCCCCCCCCCCAGATCCACGTGGATGGTCCTTGTGCACCTGAGGAGCTACTGGGAATCGACGATCGACGGGCAGTGCGCTGAAGCCTACACTGCTGCCATATACGCCACTGATTGGTGCCGCTTCTCTATTACGGCAGCATTGGAAGGGGGCTGAGCTGCGTGTGGAGGTTCAGATCTCCGATCAGCACCGACCATTTGATACTCCCTTTCCTGTGGGTCCCTGCAGAATCGGCAGGTTATTCCACGGGTCTCCTTAGTTAAATCTCCCCGCTGATAAGCGCTAATTGAAGGGGCATTATGCTGGGAGTGAATACCACTGTCCTAATGCAGTTGGGGTCCGGTGTTCCTTAAAGTGTGTTGTGTATCTTATCTGAGGGTGGTTTTATTGCATATTCTGTATACATCTGAGTGCATTACCCGAATGGTGACTTTTATGCTTTTATTTGCTGTGAATCTCTGAAGTGTGTGATATTGACTGCTGCTAATTAACAAGAGCTGTGTATGCTAGTGAGTGCTTTATCCACGTTGACTGCTTTAGGGGTATGTGGTAATCACCTGGTACCCTGGTTGGATAGGCTAGGTAGGGAGGGGGCACCCGCTAGTGCTTGGTTACCTAACTATTAAGTGGAGGCCGGGTGGTGTAACCTGGTTAAGTGGGGATCTGATTTTTTGTGTGTGTGACACTTGGCTAATATCTTTGGAGATTTGTGCCTTTGCCTATTCCTTGTGTATTGCAAGG